AAAAATTATATTCGAATGTGTCGGTAAAACAGATGACTGTAGCATCCTCTTAAGAGGATGCTAAAGTCGTTTGTATTACCGACGAAATTATAATAAATTTTTAATCGGGTGAAACTTTTTATTGGCTTTACAGAATCAAAAATCCTTTTGCAGGATTAAAGTATACATGCAAGCGGAGGGGGAGGTTGACAATTTTGTGTTCCAGAAATAGAGGATCATAATAAATCATATCTATTTACCTAGAGTTCCAAATCAACGTAGCGGTTATAATTGCTTCGTATAACTGTTTCGCAACTTTGATGGACAAAATTCCTCAACCCCCCCCCCCTTTCTATGAATGTGTACTTTAACCTGTATAAAGCTCTTTTGATTCCATAATGCCAATAAAAAGTTTGACCAGACTAAAACTTACGATCCGTATGTTCCTCGGATTTCAGTGAGACAGAGCGAAAAAGATGGCTAATTTAGTTCATGGATGCTGCGGTAGATGGCACTGCCAATGCCATTGTGTTAAGGCCTGTGTCCACGATGCTAGAACTTGGTCCAAGTTCTAGCTTCGAGAAACGTGTGGCCAATCAACTTGCAGCTATTCCATAAAAGCTGCACGTTGATTGGCCACACGTTTCCCGGAACTTATGTGTAACACATGTATACACACATACATCTACATCAGCGATGTCAAACTCTGCTGTTCTTACAGCACGCTATGGTCGGAGAGGGGATAACGCACCAAGCGAGCAGCTGTGCACATGTGAGCTCGGCGCTTCGAGCCGAAGCACACGTACATACACGACTGCTCGCTTGTGTGCGTCATACCCTCTCCGACCATAACGTGCTATGAGAACAGTGGAGTTTGCATCGCTGATCTATATTCAATAAATCGTGTGACGGAGTTGGTGCGCGACGCATGTATACTGCGGTGTCGGTTCTTTCGCCTAGAAGGACATATAGTTATGATATTCGACTCCGTCACACGATTTGTTGTAATACATAATTTGGAAGTCTTTGCAATACATTAGTTGCATTTGGCATTGCAAATTTGGAACGTCGGAGTGCTCTCTTGCGTTAGAGTGAGTGAAAGAGAGGACAACACTGCGATACCTCAGATTTACAATACCGAACTTGCAATGCAGCTATTATTTCAACGCCGCGTTACTTGTGTATGTATACGGGTGTGTGAGAGAGACTAAATAAAAAAAGAGCGACGACGGTTGCGAGACCGCCCTGCGTCTACCATAGACATATATATGTCTATGGCGTCTACATGCGGATACGTCGCGGTTTACGCGAAGCTGAGTAAGCTGCTGCGTGTTGTGACTTTTGAGACTTGTCAGTGACAATATCTGCTATCTAGTGGAGTGAATATTTTGTGGGATTGTGTTATACTATATATATTGTAAATTGCTTTGCGAAAATGGGAAGGAAACGTGACAGCAAGCATTTTCCTCCTAGCCACCACAGGTTATCTTTGAAGAGATACCATGTAAAAAGGTTGGTTCATTAATTTGTTTTGAAGGAATTGCCTAAATGTCCGCGATAATCTATTACATAATCTATTATAACCTAGTAACTTATCCAGGTTACACTACAGTTACATTCAGAATAAATAGTACGGGTGTTTTTGTGCTTATTTCCTCATAAACTGTGTAGGAAATACAGTGGCATTTGTTACTTTTTTCTATGTATGTTAGTGCACGACGTTAAAGCAATTCCAAAGTATCACACGACGTAAAATTGTATTAGTGTGTAATAAGAGTTCGTCTAGCATAACACTATATTTATGATATAATAGAAGAAAGTCCCTTATTGTGAAATAAGCTCCTAATATAAGATAACGGAGTTTCTGCTAGAGGCATCATCTGTTCAGTCTATCGTGAATTTATTGCCCTTCGGGTAAAATGTGCTTAGTGGAAAATTCATTGCGTGTAATCGTTGCGAAAAAAGATTTGCGATTGAATTTAGATATAAAAAACTTGCTATCCCATATTACAAGTTTATCTCATAATAACGGATTTTCCTGTAATACTGTAAAAAATATTACATAGATACTTTTTTCCACCTCCCTCCCCCTTTCCTGCACCTCATCATCTTCGTTTTCTCCACATTCACCTCTAAACCTTTCCTGTCTACATATTTTTCCAAGCCTTTCATCATTCCTTTCATCCCTCCCTTATCCTCTGCTATCACCGCCACATCATCGGCATACGCCGAGTAAATTTTCTCTCCCCCCACCTTAATCCCCCATCCCCCCTCCTCCATTACTTCACCTAAGTCCGCTATCAGTAATGTGAATAAACACGGGCTCAGTGGGCATCCTTGTCGCACCCCCTCTCTGTCCAAAAGCTGCCTCCTTCTCTTTCCTCAACCCTCACCCTATTCCTCGTTTCCCTCAACAACTCCTCACATCTCACTACTAGCCCCTCTCTCACCCCTCTTTTCCTCATAGCCTCCATCAAAATTTCCCTATTCACCTAGCCAAATAACGCTTCTATATATCTATAACTAATATCTATAAACAAGATGTTTAACTTTCCCTTTTTCACCGCTACTTTTTTATTTATGAAGTAGTTCAGTACGCAGATATAATCTGTCGTTCCCCCTTCTTCTCCTAAAGTCCGCCTGACTCGGTGGTATATAGGATTTCTTTCTTCTCCACCTCCTCCCTTAACCTCTCCGCCAACACTGCGGCATATATTTTATACGCCGTTTGTGTCAGCGTCACCCCTCTGTAATCCCCTACCAACTTTCCTTTTCCCTTTTTCAGCACCGGAATCACTACTCCTTCCCTCCACTCCTCCGGCCATCCTTCTCCCCTCCATACCCTGTTACAAATCTCCCATAGCCATTTTCTCACTTCTTTCCCCCCAAATTTCCACACCTCATTTGCAATCTCGTCTCCCCCCGCCGCCTTCCTTTCCTTCAATTTCCTTATTACCCTATCCATTTCTTGTTTCCTTATCTCTCCTTCTCCATCCTCTTCATCTTTTCTCCCTTCCCCTTCCCCTTCTACCTTCCAATCTACTCCTCCCACTAACTCCTTATAATAGTGTTCCCATTCCTCTAATGTAATCTGCTGACTTATTTTTCCTCTTCTATTCCTTTCCCTGCCTATCACCTTCCATACCTGGCTCTCCGTTCTCACCTCCTGAATTTCTCTCTTCTATTCCTCTCTCTCTTTCTTCTCAGCACAAACTCCTATATTCTCTCTTCAGCATCTTATAGTCCTCCCCTTCTCCACCTTGACGCTTCCATTTCTTTAGTTCTTCTTTTATCCTCCCAACTCTTTCTCTACCCTCTTCACTCCTACCCTCCTTCTCTCTCAGCCTTCCCCATTCCTCCTCTATATGTCCTTCTCCTTCCTCTTTCTTTCCAAAATATTCTTCGAATCTCCTCTTTCCTTCCTGTGTCCACACCCCCCTTTCCCTTCTTTCTCTTCTATCCTCTCATCTTCTTCTTTTTCCTCTCTTCCCCTCTCTCAACCACACCGTTATTGGTTGATGATCCGATTTTATTCTTTCCTCTACCTTCATCCTTATCACCCTTCTCCTCGTGTCTTCGTTTCCAAGCACATAATCTATTGCTGTTCCTCCTTTCCCTCCTGTGTACGTCCACTCTCCCTCTTCATCCCCCTTATTACTTGTTAAAAAATTGTGTTTTCTTTACACCGGTTGATTTGTCTCATTATTCTGTTAAAAAAAGTATTAAGGTAAGATGATAAAAAAATGAATACTTTACAAGATATTTTGTAATTTATGTCAAAATATTAGAACATTCAAACCTTAATAACTCAAAAAGTTCTTAATAAAAATGCTTTATTATAGCGTTTTGAAAAGCTCTCGAGGTAAGCTATAAGAATATGTAATAAAAAATAGGGGTTCCCATTTAAAAAAACTACTCTGACCTTCAAATAACTTTGAAAAGTAGTCTCAAGGTCAAAGCTAGTTACACAGATAGGTGACCTCCATTATCTTGAACAACTTTTGTCTGAAACATTTTTATCTTAAACTTATGAATTTTGAGAGATTTCAGTGCGTAGATTAAAATGGCCTACCCTGTATTTTGTATATATGTATATTCCTGTCCGACAGTACGATATAATTCAAAGTTGTATGTATATTTTAATTCTTGTTTTAGACGAAGGTTGCTAAAATTAGCACAGATGCAAATCGATCGTGACACTATGAATGAATCCTCTAGTCCTCAAAGTTCTGTTGGATTTCGACCCAATGAAACAAATTCTGAAAATAGTACTGGCAATGAAATCACACATTGTCTATCACTAATGAAATCACACGTTGCTGATCTTAAAATTAAAGAAGAAGTGATAATAAAGGAAGAAGCAGATAGTAATGAAGAAAAAAAAGATTTTGTTTTTGTTAACGTGGCTAATATAGCTGAAACAGAAGACTATAAGGAAGAAGGCATACTTAATCATAGTATTGAATCTTCTGATGAGGAACGTGTCATTCCTGACACGATGAATAACATAGCTGATAATAATTGTTCCATTAATGCATTTAACATTCAAGAAAATATACTTGCAGGTCATTGCATTATAAATTTCTCTTATGTGTGGAGTGTGATGCATTAAGTATTAACAATCACACCGCATGGAATCGTGTGTCAATTAAAAAAATATACAATATAACGTTCTTAATAACAAATGGATTATTAAAAAAATAAAAATTGAATATTATATTTTAGGTAATGAAGATAATGTTATTAATGTAAATAATGGTGAAACACAACATAGCCACAATTGTTGCGGTACGTATTGTATTACTTATCTGACACTTTAATTATTTATTAGTGTTCCGCTTCCGTTTTTAAGGCTCACTGTAGCTACAAATCTACTAATGATATGTTGAAAATTGTATATACAGGGTGTGTCCTAATACCCGTATGTCCTGTAGATGGCAGATAGACCGGGGCAAACTGAATAGAAAAGTCCTATACTATTTTGCAAAATTCGCAGTAGTTATCGAGAAAAAAATTATCGAAAATCGTCGTCTTTGCCCTGCCCACTGTCCAATTCGAGCGCGTAGCGAGATGTGACCGCACGGCTATCGATATTGCCAGGCGAGGGATGGGGACGCGAGACGCGGGAGCGGCGACGTAAACCACTCGCCGGCAACTGCGCGCTGTCCCCCCCTCCCCCCTCGCCAGGCAATAT